GGTGGGATTCGAGGGGCAGCAACACCCAGTCATGCTCACACTGCACAATTCCAGGGGACAGGTGGGGCCAGGAGACACCTCTTTCCCCCCACGGGTGACTCCTCTTTCCCCCACGTGGCTGCAGCGCTGAGCTGCTGCGATGTGTGACTGACACTGAACTCCCCAGCACCAGCTCCTCTCCCAGTTTGAACACCTGGCACATCTGGAGAGCAGCTGGAGACGTGGGATGGCTGCTGAGCTGGTACCTGTGAATGGATACACAGCTCCCTGAGCTTTGGCACGGGGATTTCTGTCACTCATCCCTGCTCCCCTTTCACTGAACTCCAGCTCCTCTGGCTTGGCTGACTCCTCCCGTGTCACACAGGAACAGGCAACAACTGCCTCGGGCTGTGGCAGCAGGGAGGAGCTGGACAAGACCTGCCAGGTCAGCGAGGCTGTTCTCTGTGCAGGATGACCCCCACCAGTCCAGGTGCCCCCCCGTGCCCGTGGCTCAGCACCTGCTGTTCTAAAGGAACTCAAGTTTCAGACCCAGGTTCTTGATTGCATCAGGCACAAGCAAAGTTTTTTTATTAGAGACGTTTTTCAGCAGCGTTAGTGACCCTGACTAAATCAGGTGATTTCTAGAGGGTTACAGCATTGCAGAACAGAGGAGCAGAACAGAGGAGGGGGCTCCTGGCACCCCCTTTAGCTACGTGGCCAAGCGTCGCTGAGTTACTTCTACTTTTTCTGCACAAGAGGGTGCAGCGAACACGGAGTGTTCTGGGTTTGTCTCTGGGTTTCCCTGTCACCTTCCAGTCCGTTCCTCCTTAATCACAAATTCTCCTGCAGGTCACTGGAGAGAAAGCACAGCAGCATTATTATTTGACTGAAACAGAGGTAAAACCCTTCAGGTAACAGAAATTGGCTCTGTGTGGTGCCCTTGTTTCTAGAATGCACTGCTAAGCTGGAGCAGATGGCAGCAACCCAGGAAACCCCAGATATTCCCCAAATAATTTGCTTTAATGGTGACACGTCCTAGGAATGTGCTGTCTCCGGGCCTTGGAGCTCGGGAGCAAACCAAACAGAGCCGGTTGTGAGCACACAGCCCTTACCTTGTATGTCTCCAGTCTTGCAGGGTGGGACCTGGGGCTGGCAGTGGGCAGCTGAGGTGGTTGTGTAGGTGTGGCTCGTCCTGATGACCCCTCCGCCAGTTCCGATTCCTCCCCCGTGACTGGTGAGACAGACAGGGGAATTTCAGCACTTGGTGTGTCCCTGCTGACTGGCTACACAGCACAAACTATGTCCTTTAGAAGGGTTAGAGTATTTTACAACACGTTTTCTTTCACTTCTGGAGTTGCTTTGCATTTTGCTCCCCCCTGGCATGGAACTGCAATGCAGCTGCCAATTAATTGCCATTAATTCCCATTTTGACAGTTCTCACCACAGAGAAGAGACTGTCTCCTAATGCCAGGAGTGACAGTGTTGTCACCAGCAATTATCAGATTTGGTATCTCTGCTTTGCAGATCCCAGGGGAGTGACATTTAATTCTGATTTGTATGTTCGTCACAGTGAAGTTGCCCATAAGACAACTTCTTCACCTCAAAGAAAGCATTAATAAGGACTCAAGATCAGGCTGGATTCCCAGTCTGTAACACAGATCTCTGATAATTTCACATGTTCTCTAGTGGATTCAGAGATGTACATACATGAGGTCCTGCTGTCCTCCTTCCAACAAGCACCGGTAGGTCTGGATCTCCTGCTCCAGGCGGCACTTGACGTCCAGTAAGGTCTTGTACTCCTGGTTCTGACACTCAATTTCCGCCCTTATTTCCGCCAACTGCTGCTCCACGCACGTGATCTGGTTCTGTAGCTCACCCAGGAGGGTGTTGTACTGGCACTCGGTCTCAGCCAGAGACGATTCCAAATTATTTCTCTGATAAGCAAGAGAAGCAAAGAAACAAACGTTCATTTCAAGCGTCACCCCGGAGCTTACAATTTCCAGTCTGGAAATGGAGGAGCCACTCAGCACCGCTGTGCTGGTTGGTGGGTCTGGCTGTTTGCACCGAGAAAGCCAGCAGTGACCGCGTCAGAGCTGAGTCAGCTCGTCCACCCACCTGGCTGAGCTGAGCTTGGAGATCGATTTCCAGGGCTTGCAATTGGCGCCTCAGTTCAGTCACCTGGTTGTTGCACGTCTCCACCTCCTGACCGCTTGTAATAACCTCCCGATTCACCTCCTCAATCTGAAATCAGCAAGGCAGGGTAAAGAGCTTCAGGAGATGTCTGGGTGCATGGGACTTGGTTTGACAGGAGCAGAACACGGGGAGTGTTCAGCAAGAGCTAAAGGGAGCAGGGCAGGTTCTCTGTGCACAGGGCGTTCCCTGCTGGCTCCTGTGCTTGTTCATTTTACAAATCCCATTAGCCCCGTGGCTAGTAAGTCTCTTTAATCCAAATGTGGAATATCTGTGTTCCAGCAGCACACCACAAGGCCTTGTGGCAAATGCTGCTGCTCCAGATGGGGCATAACAAACTGGTCAGACAGGCCTGTGGCTCCTGTGGAACACAGGGTGTAATGAGTGCTGCTCTTGGGCTTCACTGAGAGGCAAGAACTGCTTATTGTCTCCATGTCTGGTCTCTGAGAGGCCCCTGAGCCCTTGGGGGGTGTGTGTCAGTGTGGTCCAGGTGTGTGTCACTCACCTTGCACTCGTACCAATCCTCGACTTCCTTGCGGTTCCGCGCTATCAGTGTTTCGTACTGGCATCTCAAATCCTCCAAGATCTGCCTGAGATCTGGTCCAGGGCAGGCATTGACCTCCACACTCACATCTCCAGTCGATTGCTTTCTCAGGCAGTTCATCTCCTGCAAATAAATCCCAGGTCAGCTCATACTGGCTTTAGGAAGGCAGCAGAGAAGAGCAGAGTTCAGTGGCCAAGAACTGCCCTCCCTGCAAGAGCTGCCTCCAGCTGGGGCTGTGAAAGGCGCTGGAGGGTGGTTGCAAGTGTTTTTCCAACAAATCTGTTGGGTAATTTATTTTCTCATCCACTGGAGTCAGCAGCGACCTTCCCCCCCCTCTGGCACTCCCAGTGACAGCACAGCCCTGCCGGAGCTCCATCCTCATCCCCAAGGCAGAGGGGGCTGAGCCCCCAGCAGGGTTTGGTGGGAAGGCTGTGCCATGAAAACCTTTTAAATTCAGAGCAGGGTGGTGTGGGCAAAGTTTTCAGCCGGGGCAGGACCTACCTCCTCGTGGTTCTTCTTCAGGCAGCAGAGCTCCTCCCGCAGCGACTCCAGCTGTGCCTCCAGGTCAGACCTGCAGAGCGTCAGCTGGTCCAGGACCTGGCGCAGCCCGTTGATATCGGCCTCCACACTCTGGCGCAGGGCCAGCTCCGTCTCGTACCTGGGTTGTGCAGGAAAGCACAGAATTCAGGGTGGCAACATCCCACACGGGCTCTCTTCCTGCCGAGATTTCCTTCCCCAGATCCCTGCTCTGGTCTGCGTTTGCTGCCCATGCTGAACTTGGACTTCTGCACCGCTTCAGGTCTGTTGTGTCAAAACCTTCCCTCCTCATCTGTTTTTCTCCCTGCTCCTGCTCACTGGAGATTTGGTATCACTTACTCAGCTGCATTTCTGCCCTGCTGATCCCATCTGTTCTGGTCTGGGGTGGAAGTGGACCACTCCCTGCAGTGCCCGTCCCCAGCCTCACCACAAACGCTGTTGCTAAATGTTTTACCCGAGAACACTAATTAAGGGGAGGGCTGGTGACCAGGAGCAAAAAGGCCTTTCATCATCCTGCCCTGCCACCGTGGTGTGGGGAGACGCGTCTGGAGCCTCTGTAATTAGTGCTCTGAGCCTCCCCAGCGAGGTGGGAAGGGGCAGGGTGGGGGGAAGGCAGCAGGTTCAGAGGGAGCACTCACTTCACACGGAAGTCATCGGCAGCCATCCTGCTGTTATCGATGTCCAGGATGATCTTGTTGTTATCGATGGTTGCACAGACAATCTGGAAAAGAGCAGACCACGAGAGTTGTCTCCTTCTCTCCTGTTCTACCCTATAGGTCTCTCTGCATTGCAGTCAGGCAGTAACTCTTCACAGTTCCCTTTTTCTGTTACCTTCTCACTAAAGTAACCTAGTCCCTTGAAGGAGGGGGCTTTGCCTCCTTTACTCACAGTCAGTAAAGAGATCAATCATGTAGAGGCTGGGAGTTAAAGAGTTGTGAGATGGGGCATCTCAGTTTCGAGATCTGAAGGCGAGTTCCAAAGAGGCTTCAGAAAGTGAACCTAAAGAACTTTCCTTAAGTCACTGAATCTCAACTGATACCCCAGCTGGAGTGTTCTGGGCTTCGGACTTAAGGAACTTCAGGGAAGATGGTTGGAAGGTGTCTTTAAGCCTTCAGATCAACTTTTATTGTGGATTTATTAGTGTGAGGCTGTTTGTGCCCCTGTGACAATCAGTTTCAATAGTCGGCTTTTCTCACCTAGAATTTGTAATGTTTCACCTGATAAAGCGTTCAGTGTGTATGTTTTGCCCTTGTTCCATAGTTCTCCTTGCTTTGCTTTCCCTACAGACCTGACACCCCTACATTTCCTCAAGAACACACTGGTAACGCCCTATTTACAGTTGTATAGCCCAAACACAAGGTACCAAAGCATCCTTTCCCTTTTCCAGAGGGTTCTCCCACCCCTACAGCCTCGCAGCGCCCATCCTTGACGTGCCCCCCCACTCAGCAACGTCACAGGGGATCTTGCCAAAAATTTGTGTCTGTGAACACATTCAGCAGCCCCAAAGTTCCCCCAACGACCGCAGTGGGTTCTAAACAGAAACTGAGCTGTCAATGGGAGGAACAACCCAGAGGGGTCTTACCTGGTTCTGGAGGTCCTCAATCTCTTTGTAGTAGCAGCTGTAGTCCCGGGGCTCGCAGGACAGGCCCTGTGTCGCGTACCACTCCCTGATCCTGCACTCCAGCTCGGCGTTCTCCTTCTCCAGGCACTTCACCTTGTCCAGGTAGGAGGCCAGGCGGTCATTGAGGTTCTGCATGGTGACCTTCTCATCGCAGGACGACAGCAAGCAGTCCCCCCCGAGACCCCCGACCACCACCCCTCCTCCGAGGCCAAACCCCAGGCCATTGCCATAGCAGTTGCCACCTCCATAGCTCCCACCAGCCAAGCTACCGACGCTCAGTCCCCCTCCATAATTCACTCCACCGCAGTAGCTCCTTCCAGAGAAACCCCTGGCGCTGCCTATCCCATAGGAAGAAATCCGTGCTCCACCACCACCACCAATGATGCAGCTGCCACCGCTGCTCCTGCCTTTGCTAGACACAGTGATAGTCTCCTTAATGTTGCAACTCATGGCCACAGCGGTTGGCAAAGGCAAGCAGAAGCCCAAAGCAAGAGGCACAGCTTGATATGGAATCAGACTGCGAGCTGTCCGTGGCCGCCCGTCCCTATTTATACCTTCCACAGTGGGTGTCACCGCTGCTCCTTCTTCCCATAAGGCTGGCTGCTCCAGCCATTGGTGCCAAGAATAATTTCTCAAAGGGAAGTTTCCTTTCAAGGAGCCTGGTAGACGAGGAAGATGCTTTACATGTCTCTTGCTAATTTCAAAAATACATTAGCAATAATGTTTTATGAATCACCGGCTTTTTGTTTGTGATGCAAACTTAACAGCGTTAAGCCAGGAAAAACACTGTCCTAAATTACATACCAGGAAGAAATCATTAAAGGTTATTGCATCAAAGAGCTCTTTATCTCTCATTAATTTATTTTCATTTTATTTTGAGTTGAATAAGCAGTTTTCATGCAAGGTGCTGAGGTTGGACTACGCAAGATGAAAAAGAAAGAAGAAATACTAAGTTTGCTTCTCGAATGATGTATGAGGAATGATGTAAGAAACTCTGTGGAAAGATCAGAGACACAGAGATTAACCTTTAAATCTCTCCACTGGCAAAATGACAAATCTGGAACACTCTGCTACAAGACAATTGAGACCAAGGAGGGATCTCTTAATAGGCACGGATGAAAGGTTCTTCATATATGATTGTGGCTCTCCAGTAATTCACAAAGGATTTGTTTCATTATGTGGAGAGTGTAAAGGAAGGTAAAAGTGCTTTAAATATTTCCTGTTGTTCAGTGAAAGATAATTTCTGCACTTTTCCTCATTATGGATTGTAATTGTTGCTGGGAAAGGGTGGGTTTGAAACAGTGGATGGGAGTGGAAACATCCTATGGCCAATTTCTCTGTCAATATGTGCTGTGCTCTAATCAGAGCCTCGGGATTGCTGTCCTGGCACATATAAAGACAGAGCTGCTGATGGAGCTGCAGAGCAGCCTCTTCCCAGTGCAGCTCCACACGGGCTTGGAGAAGGTGGGTTTGGTACAAAGTGGAGTTTCTCTGTCAGTAAAATTTCCAAATCTTAACTAGGCAGGGAAAATAAAAAAATAGGGATCCTTTCCCACTTCTGACATCAAAAGTGAGGCTGAGCTCATTTTCATGAGATGTTTTGCTGAGACTCCAGACCACTGCACCTCTCCCTGGGAGCCCTTGATCCAGTGGCCATGGAACAAGGGACAGGCATTCCTGAGCTGTCTGAAACGAACTGTTCCCTGTAAGAATTCTCCAAGCCTGGCTCACCAGGGAAGAGCAACCTCAAACTCTCACTGAAATAGCGTTGTCAACTGAAATAGATTGTGTTATGGCAGGTAGACGATCCCATTTACCAAAGGACTGGATTATCCCAGTATTTGTGGATTTACCCATCATTTTATTGCTCTTCTTTCTGTTGAAAAGATGCCTTTCCCTTTCCCTTATCTTTGCCCCCTTTGGATGTTCCTTATCCAGCACCATAAAAGCCAGCAGCATTCCAGTGATATCTGGAGACGGGTGTGGAGGGACTTCCCAAAGTGATTTTACCCAAAGCTGCAGCTGGGCCCTGCCTGCCACTCCGGGCCTCCCTCCAGCCCCAAACACACAGAAACAAAGCTCAGAATGGGTAAAACCTCCAATAAAGTTGCTGTGCACGGGGGAGAAAAAGCCGGCTTTCATTCCTAGGGCCGGAGAACACAATTGGGAGCCAGGGCGTGGCGGCAGGAACGAACCGAAACTGCCGAGAGCTGCGTCCCTGGAAGCTTCGCCCGGGCTGCGGATGATTCCTCCAGGAGTTTCCCAACTGCTGTCTGCAGCATCTCTCCTGAGTGAGCACACATTCCTCCCCGGCTCCACGGTTATCACCGCAGCACATCGGAGCAGCACAGGCAGGAACAAAGGGCTGACACTGCTCCTTGGGAGGGGAGGGTGTCTGCCTGCCCGGTCCTGATCTCCCTCCAGACACCTCGGTCCCCCTCTGCCCCTCAGACCCACCTGGACTGTGCCCAGGAGCCTCAAACCACACACTTCTTCCCTCTGCCTCGCTGTTTTTCCCTGTTTGCCTTCAGGAAATGAGGGCACAGGTTAAAGTGAGATGAAATGAAGTGATTGTTCTGAAACCGTAAAAGATTAAACGAAGCTTTTCCTCCTGTTTTCATCCAGTTACTTGAACTCCTAAGCTTCCTGGGTCTGTCTCATTAGCACAAAGAAATACGGAAACCTTATGGAAATGTAGTTTCCAATGTTTGCAGCTCCATAATTTGCAGCTCTTTAATAAATGGGGTGTTTCCAGGGTGTTTTCTGCTGGGGGACTGTTAATCATAAGCTGCCTCTGCTGAGCTGCCTTCCAGGCGCATCCCAACTCGTAGGTCCACAAACAACATCACAGGAGCTGAGGCTGCACTGCCTCCCCCCCCTCACCCAGGGGCTCTCCAGAGGCACATTCGTAATGTCTGGATCATTAGAGTCCTTCTGACCGTGTCATTAGGCCTCTTTCACCTCTCAGGAATTTAGGGCAGCTCCTTGGTGAGAGTGCACAGCTTCTGACCGGTGGGGAGGGTGGGAGGTCTGTGTAGGAGCCCAGGGAACCCTGAGGAGCAGCTAGATGTCAGTAGCAGTTCGCAAGAGGAGGAACCAGCCCGGAGCTGGTGGGAATCAGGTGGGGCTGCCAGGAGAGAGGGGCAAGTTTTTATTTATCTTACATGGCCGAGAGTTTCCAAAAAGAATGGAAAGCAGACGAGAGTATGAGGATTCGTAGGTTGGGAAGGATTGAGGCCAGAAAGGGCAGCAGTGGGTTATCTCACTGTCTGGCTTTGCACTGAACGAGGCAGGAGGAGACGATGGGAATGGAAAAGGGAAAGGTTTGCTTTTTGACTTCTCAGTCAGAGGAGTCCAACAGAAATTTGCCATTACAGGCACAATATGTATCTTCTATGATCTCTTGTGAAGCACTGGCCATGCACATCTACTGGGAGATTTCTGCATCAAGTCTGAGGTTTTCTGTAGGGCTGGACCTGAACTTTAAAGATGGCTTGATTTAGAGTCTTGCTTTAAAAGCTTCTGCCTTTGGCCACTTTGGTCATTGCAGGTGTTCCAGGGCTACATTTTCTTGTCTTGCCCATGGATGCTATTGAACTTAGTGTCTGGTAGATGAAATAAAAGAAATACTACTGAGAATCTTCTCTACAAGGGCACCTTTCACCTGCTCCCTGACACTTTAGTTAAGCTTCTTCAGGGACTTGCTGCCATGTAAAGCCTGTTTCGGTATCAGGAGAGTAGGGAAGGACTGGCAGCAGAGCTGTGTGCCACACTGTGCTGTATGTGCAGTCCTGAAGTGGTTTTCTCTTTGTACCTGCCTTCCTCCTGCCCTGAGCCTGCTGGTCCATAACCCCCAGCCTCTGACAGAAAAGGAGTGACCAGGAGTTTTGCCTCGCCAGGTCAGCTCACAGGTGAATCTGACTCTGTCACAGTCACCCATCACAGCTGGGCTTTCTGGACCGACAATTTAATCCTCCAAACACCCTCATAACGCTTTTAACTGCAAGTTCTGCAAACCCAAAGTGCCTCAGGGCAGGTCAGCGCCAGGACGTGCTGGCTCAGCACCAGCTGCTGGTCGAGGCCCAGGCAGGGAGGGATCCTTGTCTTACCTGTGAGGTTTGAGTGGCTCTGTGAGTCCAAAGGTCCTACCTGGCCTTTTTCTCCATTCTATTCTCTGTTGAGCTGCACATTTTCAGCTCCCACCCTGCCCTCCCCAGCTCCCCAGACAAGGTGTGTTTCATCTAGAGATAATCTTCCAACCGTTCCTGCTGTTCAGGCCGAAACTCTTCGCAATAGAAGGGTGACCAGTAAATGACTCAGTCACTGTGGGAAATGAGAGGAGATAAACCTTTTGCCTCCAGTCCTTTTCCCAGTGGTGGGAAGATTTCTATAGAATTGAGGAAATAGGCCCAAACGTAAGGCTTGTCAGGAGAAATTGAATCAGTTGGGGAGACCAAGATTTGCTCTTCACCCTAATCACAACCTCCAGGCTGGGTGATGCAGATTTGTCACCGGGACTGAAGCAAACTGTCTCCAGCTGTTCCCCCACTGACGCTCAGAATTTTTCTAGGGCTGTGTTTCAGCCCAGTGCTGTGTGGGAAGGACACAAGTGCCTCCTGACCTGCCTGCCCGTGTAGGTCACGCAGGAACAGGCACCATCTGCCTCAGGCTGGGACAGGGAGGAGTGGGACGAGACCTGCCAGGTCAGCGAGGCCGCTCTGGCTCCCACTGGCAAAGCAGCTTTGTTCCCAGTGCAGGATGGCCCCAACCAGCCCAGGTGCCCCCTGTGCCCGTGGCTCAGCACCTGGTGTTTCTAAAGGAACTCAGCCACAGGTTCTTGATTGCATCAGGCACAAGCAAAGTTTTTTATTAGAGACAATTTTTTCAGCAGCAGGTGCATTAGTGATGGGTGATCACTGGCTGACTCCAGCAACAGTCGTGGTGCTGGGGCCACACACAGCAACACAGGCTGGGAAAGCAAATAGCAAACCAAAGCAGAATGTGGCCCAACGCTCTGCTCATCCCTCTGGCTCATTGCTTAGCACGGCTGAGCGGCGCAGACGAGCACGCCCCGTGCTCTCTGCAGACACATGCAGCAAATATTCTCTCTTCATCCCTTAGCTCTGCTTCAGGCTTCTCTTGTTGGATATTCTCGTTTCTCTGCTTAATCACAAATCCTTCGGCAAGGCACTGGAGACATCAAAGGAAACATTACTGTGTTTATGGCAAAAATAGATTCTTTCCCACACTGTCATTCCCCACATGTGATCGTTTCACAAGCCAATTCAATTAGAACTTCAGATAAGTACTGTCCCTTCTTGGGAAGGTCTGATGGCTCCTGCCAGCCAGGCAGATGGATCTGTTTGTGCTGTAGCACAGGCTGCCCTTCTCCATAAAAATGCCAGGCAGTGGAAGCTGGAGATGTGGATGAGGGAATGGCACTGGGATCCATGCCAGAGCAATGCCCCTGCTCACCCTCATTTCCTGGACCAACTCTCACCACATTTCATTCTTTCCTTTTCAGTTTGGCTGGAAGTTTCCTCTTGAACTAGGACTAGCAGTTATCTGCCAGCGTTCCCATTATTCCTGCTTTTTCTACCTCCACCTTGATCTCTGGGCACTCTGCTTTCTCCTGCTCTTTCCTTTGTCCCCCATCTCACATCAGTCCTTTCTCCATGCTGCCCATGGCTTGCCTGCCTCCTGACTCTGTCCCTCTCCCTTTTATCCCTCTTCCCCTCCTCCCTTTGGCAGTTCTCCCCTCTCTCAGCAGAGTCCCAGCTCCCAAAAGCTCTCCTCTCAGCCACTCCTCTGTGGCTCCCATCCTGTATTTCCCAGGGGCCCCACAATAAAACTTTCAATTACATCTGTAAGCTGCCTGGGAAAGATCTCTCTTCCTGTCCATCCCTGTTGCATTAGAGCAGAGGAAACTGTGGAAACCCTCAGAGTGGGGCAGTTCTCACCTTGGATCTCCGCAGCTGCACAGGATGGGATCTGGGCAGACGAAGTGTAAGTGTGGCTTGTCCTAATGATGCCTCCTCCTCCTATCCCACTGCTTCTTGCAACTCCTCCTCCTAGACCAGAAGACTGACCAATTCCTCCTTGCTGACTGAAGGGGCAGAAAAGAACATTTCAGCGAGGGAAAGGACAGATAAAAACCAGGGCTACAGATTTTCAACGTCACGGCTGCTCTCGCTGGGGTCCCCTTTCTGGCAGAAAATTGGCAGAAGGTTGCAGTGACCGCTCTCCTCGTGGCAGCAGCTGGCACAGGGCAGGGCAGCAGGTCCCCACCACTGGCACCAGGCAGCCTGAGCAGGTCAGTAAGGGAGAAATTGGAACAACAGGGACACAGGCGTTTCACTGTACTCACATAAGGTCCTGCTGGCCGCCCTCCAGCAGGCAGCGGTACGTGTGGATCTCCTGCTCCAGGCGGCACTTGACGTCCAGCAGGATCTTGTACTCCTGGTTCTGGCACTCCATCTCTGCCCGCAGGTCAGCCAGCTGCTGCTCCACGCAGGTGATCTGGCTCTGGAGCTCGCCAAGGTGGTTGTTGTAGCGACACTCTGTCTCCGCCAGCGAGGACTCCAGGTTGTCCCTCTGAGGAGTGACAAGGGGCACGATGCAAATACAGGCAGGAGAAAGGCTGTGTTTAGCTACGAATCCCGTGAGGGGGCTGAGGTTTGCACCAGCTCGTCCACCCACCTGGCTGAGCTGAGCTTGGAGATCGATTTCCAGGGCTTGCAATTGGCGCCTCAGTTCAGTCACCTGGTTGTTGCACGTCTCCACCTCCTGACCGCTTGTAATAACCTCCCGATTCACCTCCTCAATCTGAAATCACCAGTCCAGAGAATTCCTGCCTCAGGTTTCACCAACGTGGGGAGTTTCCCTCACCCCATGACAAGGACACAGGGCAGCAGCATCCCTCCCCTGTGTCACTTGGTCACTTTGAACCCGTTCTAAATGCTATTACAGTCTCTTGTGTGGCTTTAATGGCTTAAAGGTTTAAGTCCCTGGGGGACCATTGCCTGGGTGTTGGCTGGGGGAGGTCAGAGCTGTGGGAATTTACTCACCTTGCACTCATACCAATCCTCAACTTCTTTGCGGTTGCGTTCAATCAGCGTCTCATACTGGCACCTCATCTCCTCCAGGATCTTCCTGAGGTCTGGGCCGGGGCAGGCATTGACCTCCACGCTCACATCTCCAGTCGATTGCTTCCTCAGACAGCACATTTCCTGGAAACACCGTGCAGATCAGGTCAGTTTTTTTAACAGGAGGGAAGGACTGAGGCAGCCAAGTTCCCCTGCAGGGAGGGAGGAGCAGAGCCTGGCAAAGCCCCTCTCCACTGGACCCTCACAGCTCCCCCGCTCACACCACAGTCTCCATCAACCACTTGCCCTCCAGAGCAGCACCCCAGGGAGGTGATGGATCCCACAGGAGTGCAAGGAGAGGGGCAGGACCTACCTCCTCGTGGTTCTTCTTCAGGCAGCAGAGCTCCTCCCGCAGCGACTCCAGCTGTGCCTCCAGGTCGGACCTGCAGAGCGTCAGCTGGTCCAGGACCTGGCGCAGCCCGTTGATATCGGCCTCCACACTCTGGCGCAGGGCCAGCTCCGTCTCGTACCTGCCGGGGCGGGAGCAAGAGACAAAGAGCAGTCGGTGTCTGACACCACCACGAGCAGGAAAAAATGAAACCTTTCCCTTTTAAAGACGCCACGTGCTGGAAGAGCAGCTCGGCTGAGCCCTCACTGCTCCCGGTCTGCAGATCCCTCTGCCTCCCGGAGAACTCTGATCTCCATCCCAGACTTTCCCTCCTGGAACTGCCCTTATTAGGGCAGCCTTAGATGTTTCCCTGTGTAGCCTCCAGGCTGTCCTGGGTCACAGGGGAGCTGCCCCCAGAGCTCCGAGGGCGGGGACAGAGGAGGGGGCAGCCCGCGGTACTCACTTCACTCGGAAGTCGTCAGCTGTCATCCTGCTGTTGTCGATGTTCAGGATGATCTTGTTGTTGTCTATGGTCGCACAGACAATCTGGAAAAAGAACATTCACTCCTGAAGTCTCTGCTCCGTGTCATCGGGCTCAAGGGCACCCATTGCCCAGTGCCACCAGAGCAGACCCCTTTCTCCCTTTTCTGACCTCCAGGGTAGCAGGGATGGGGAGTTGAGGGGTGCAGCACTCACAGGGGTGTTCAGTGAAGTGCAGTGAAGGCATTAAATGATAAAACTCATGGTTCAGGTACAGACAGTCTGGGAGGTGTAATTAGTGTCCAGCACCTGCCACAGTCCACCTCAACCTTTTAAATCTAAATCTCATTTTCATGGATAAGAGATTTAAAGATTTTATTTGAAGACTTAATGACAAGCCAGCCTCATTCTGTCCCTTTCCCCGAATTCTTTTCACTTTGTTCTTCTTTATGCATTGGCATCCTGAATTTTTGCCAAACCCACTTTGCAAACGTTTTGAATTTCAAATTGCCCATTCCAAATGTGTTATGGCAATGCTGTCTTTGTTTCTAGTTTTAATTAGATATCCTATATTCACCAGTTGCTTATGAGAGAGTAAACCAATAGAGGAAAAAAAAGTTTAACTGGAATTCTGCAAGACTGATGACAATAATATAAATTCAGGCAAATCATTTCAATCCATTATTTATTTGTCTTTTAGTTCTTTTCTTGCCACGTGTCTATTTAAACACCTTGGCACTAACCGAATTCAGAAGGACCACTGAGCCCATCCAGATGCATTCCATGAAGTAACATTTCCCCCTTCAATATATCTGATGAATAAAAGCAGCAGAAACCCTCCAGGTTTCCCCTCTGAGCTCTTTCCACAGGCAGATGTTATAGGGCATGTTTGCAAAGAGCATTTTACAGCACTGACTTGTTACTGCTGATCATGTGGACAGCAGTGGGGGGAGAGGGAGAAAGCAGCTGAGAAGGGGCGTTACCTGGTTTTGAAGGTCTTCGATTTCTTTGTAGTAGCAGCTGTAGTCCCGTGGCTCACAAAAAGGGCCCTGCTTGGCGTACCACTCCCTGATCCTGCACTCCAGGTCAGCATTCTCTTGTTCCAGGCACCTCACCTTGTCCAGGTAAGAAGCCAGGCGGTCGTTAAGGTTCTGCATGGTGACCTTCTCGTCACCGGAGAGGAGAATGCCATCACCAGCAAAACCGCCTCCACCGAGCCCCATCCCCATGCCCCCTCCCATGCCACCGCCGAAGCGAGCGCTGCCACCGCTGAATCCCATGCCTGGGCATCCTCCGAGCACGGCGGCTCCCAGGCCGCCTCCGTAGTTGCCCCCGACCAAGCTGCCGGCGCTCAGGCCCCCTCCATAGCTGACACCGCCGCAGTAGCTCCTGCCGGAGAAGCCTCGGCTCCCGCCTATCCCGCAGGTCGTGTATCTTCCGGAGGAGACCGAGGAGATCCGCACTCCGCCACCACCGCCACCGCCACCAACCACGCAGCTGCCACCGCTGGTCCTGCCCCTGAGAGAGCCAGTTGTCTGCTTAATACTACAGCTCATGGCGAGGCCCAGCTGCAGCGCCAACCCACAGCCCAAAGCGAGATGCAGAGCGTGATACTGAGTCCGACTGCAGGGCTGGCGCTGCCGCAGGTCTCCATTTATACCTTCCAGAGGGGGGGTGTCACCTTTTGGGGTGTTTCTTCTTCCCACGGGGCTGGCTAGTCTGGCTGTTTATGCCAAGAATAAATAGCCCACGGGCAGTTTCCCTCTAGAAATCCCAGTTCACAGGGAAGATACTTTACATGTCAGCAGCTTATTCCAAAAAGTAAAATAGTGTTTTGTGAGTCATCAGCTTTTTTGTATGATGCAAACTTTGCAACAAGTCGAGAAAAAAAGTTGCCCTAGATTATGTACAAAGGAGAAACATTGGTATTTATAACATCAAAGTGCCTTTTATCTTTTATTAATTTGTATTTATTTTATTCTTAGTCCAGTGACCATTTTTATATCACATGCTACGGTAGAGTTTGTGAAACAGAAATGGGAAACTAATAGAATTTCTCAGTTCTGAAAAGTGTGAACCATAGCACTGAACAGACCAGGGACACTGTGGTGTGGATGTCAGTCACCTGGCACTGCTCTAATACCTCCTTTGCAGGGAGATTTCCTGGATCAGTGAGGCAGTTCCCCATGGGTTTAGTTCCCTGTTTATGGCTTAAACTTCCCTGGTCATGCAAACACAAGAAGTCAAGATGCTCACACTGCGCAGCTCAGGCCAGCTCGGTGTCCCCTGTGTGTGGGTGACACAGGGTTGATGTCACCTGCAGACTAAGAAGGACCTCGCTGAAGTTATTTTTCAATTACTGTAATTGCTGTCCTTGCTGCCCCAATTTGTGGTGATCGTAGATAAAGAAAGAGAGGACAGGAAAAGGAGTACCCATGGGCGATGTATCCATCCCTGGGTGGACTCAGACGGGACCCTGCGGGTCTTGGCCGTTCCTAAGATTGTGCTGAGCGCAGGACAAGGAGGACAAAAGTTTCCTGCGTTTCTTACTGAGTTTGCTGGAGCAGCAGAAGGAGTGAGCACAGCCCCAACCAGGCAGGGGCAGCCAGGAGAGCCTTCAGAGAAGCGGCTCCACCAGTGCCAGTGTCCTTCTCCAGCAGGCTCTGTAATGAGAGGATATTCTGCTCTCCAGGGGACGATGGCTTCTCTCCCCTACAGGGTGGAATTTCCACACGACTGGTACTCACAAGCCACCTTTGACTCAAGGATGTTTAGGTATTTACAGGAGCAGTTGTGATAGATCCTCGCTGGCAGTGAGGTGACACTCAGGGAGCCCCAAGAGCAGCGTCATCTCCGGGAGGAAGGGCAGAGAAAACCCACACTGCTTCCCCCAGACACCTCATGGACTGGTGGGAAGTTGGTGGCTTCTGCCACCACGGCAGGAGAGTGACCCCAAGCATGTTTAGCCGTGATCGTCTTCACACCAGCATGAGTTAAGGCTCTCCACTCTCCAGTGGAGTAATTTATTTCTTTACTTAGATCCGAAATGATAAAAAGCCGCCTACCGAGGCTGGCAGCATCCAGGAATATTCATTATTCATATGGCGCAGGGAAATTACTTGCTCAAGGACAGAGCCGGAGTCTGTCGGAGCTCAGATTCCTCACTGAGACTGCAGTGCCTGAAATACAAGTCCATCCTCCCCCTAGACACGGCCCCCGTGCTCCCCACAGAGCCCAGACTCGCAGTCGGGAAAATCATGGGCAAAAAGGAGGAGAGGGAGCAAATCTGGCTTTCATCCGTCGTTTTGAGGAATATAATTGAAGACAGGGTGTGGCTGCTGGAGCCAACAGAAATTAATATAATGCTTGCTTGGAGCTTCGCTTCTGCTGGGGAGGTTTTCGGGAGTTACCCAAGAGCAGACACGGGGCTGGGGGTGCCTTTCTTTCCCTTGCAGACTCTTGGCTTTAGGAGGGTGGTGGACACTTCTCTATGGGTGGACATGGACCACACACACCCCTTCCTTCAGCACCTGCCTGACTAACCTGCCTGTGCCTTAAAAACAACGCTGTGGTGTTGTCCCACTCCTTGTGGCCATGCTGGGGCTGGAGGCTCAGGCAGAGGCTGTGTGGGGCTCACTGTGTAAGCACCCCCAAAACATCCCTCAGAACCGGCTTTTCCCCCCCTTAAACCGATTTCTTTACCTCCACTTTGGTTATTATTTGTGATCCTGTAGCCTTGGGATGCAGCCTTGGGGCAGAGCGCTGGGAAAGGACCGTGCAAGTCTAAGATACGAACGTGTCCCAAAAGGATTTACAACCCCAGTGTAGGACAGGAGGAAACAAATGGCTTCATGCAGCTGGAAGTGCAGGAAGACACGACAGGCCATCGGCCAGGACGATGAGCAGTGGCCACACACAGTGTCAGTGCCAACAAGCTGAGTCCTCTGGGCCTGGTGGGTGAGAGAGTGGAAGTGGGGGAAGAGGTGACAGGGGTCAATAGTGGTGCACAGGGATGGGGGAGGCAGCAGGATGTCGCATTCCCACGGGATGCTGGTCCCTGTGCCCAGCCTGGCTCCACACGCTCGCCTGGCTTTGCTTATCAAAGCTGATAATGTTCTCCTGTGTCAACTACAAGAAAGGTGTGTCTGGTTTTACAGCGCTCTGCTTTCACAAGCATTGCCTCAGTGATGTTTGTGCAACCACACTGGAATAATGATTTTATCTTGTCACTTGTAATTAACATTAATCATTTGCATAATGGCCATTAGGCATCACTTATTAAACGCTTCTTTGATGTGATACCGAGCTGGCTCCAGGCCTTATGCTCCCATCTTTCAAATGCAGACCACGACTTTTTTCCTGGCTAGTGACTCACTGGTTTGTACCACCGTGTTTAGCCAAATCCTGTAAGGCAAGTGAAATAATTACCACAGTGGGTTTGGTAACAGCCTGGGCTTAAATACGCCTCAGAGACCGAGGGGGTGACTCTGCTTCAGCTTCTTGCTGACTGTTCACATTTGCAGCCTCTGAGCATCTTCAGTGTGAAGTAGGAGCTCAGCAGGACATGGACACAGCTGGGTTTCTTCCTACCAAAGCTCACAGTCCCCCCTGATTTGCTTGGTGAGGGCTGGTGGTTCCTTCCAGCGCCTGCCAGACACTGACAGTGCAGCCAGGCCTCTGGAATGTGCACCTCTGGAGGTCATCACAGCAGAGAAGAGTCCTGGAGAAGCTGTTAGGATAGATGGGAATAGTGATGGGTGATGAAACTGCAGCAATTCCAGTCCCCCATGGAGAGCTGAGCATGGGTGCAGGATGGGAGGGAAACTGAGGCTGAGCCACAGAGTTAGACCAGAACCTGACACCCTGTTGTGTTCAGGTGCTTCCTGTGCTCAGACACCATCCAGGGATCCGACAGAGCTGGGCAGGCAAAGGGGCAGAGCAACCAGAGCCTCCCCAGCGTGTCTTCTTTTAGCTTTATATCGTACTAAAGTCTCTTCATTTAATGCACTTTAAATTTGTGGCTCATACTGGCAGTTTAGATTATATTATTCAGTGCACTGAGCTGAGAAATCTGTTGGGTTACAGCAGGAGTTTGCTTCTTTCTGTAATTCTTGACAAACGTTGCAGAAACCAGTACACAAAAATCTAAACCCCACAGATAGTTACTGTGTGTGTGAGTGAGACTGTGCCTGTCTGCATACTGCATAAAGGAGACTTTTATAGAGAAATTACAGTTTATACATCACAGCAGAACATGGCCTGCCTTTCCAAACACACCGTGCCTGTAATCAGGGATAATTGGCTGTGCTGCACAGTCCGGAACTCGTGGCTGATTTCCAGCGCTGGCAATTTGCAACATTGGTTGTTTTCTTTCTGTTTCTTCACTGATCCCTTAAACCTCTGGTGTGTTCACTCCTCGGGGATGTTTCCTGATGGTGGTGTGATTCCCATGTGCTCTCTGTAGCACACAGACACATCTGCTGGAGCAGCCACAGCGCTTTTCATCTTCTGCTTACCGGCCTGAGCGCAGATACAACCTCCCCCTCTCCCTGGGCACCCACCCCTGCTCTCTTTATCCTTGGTTCCTCTCCCAGTCCTGCACCTTCAGCCCGAGCCTCTCTCTGTCTCTGAGATACCTGCTGGTTCTTGCTTTACGAGATTTGCACGTTACAAGACACAGACTGAGCTCCCACGAGCAGCGCGACCCGTGAGCTGTGCGAGGACACGGCAGACGTTTGCCTGCAGTCCCTGTCCCCGGGTCACTCTTGTCCTGTTGTCTCATGCACTGTGCCCTCTGCATTTTATGTATCTTCCCTTCCCTGCCTCCTCCCGTGCAGCCTCCACAGCCACCGTCGTTTCCCAGGGCTGCCCAGGCAGCGCGTGGTGACCTCAGAGGTGCCGTGTCAGCACCGAGCTGGGGTAGATCACCCCCCCAAACGCGCAGTGTAATTAGTGCTGCTGGAGTGGGGATGCAGAACCGAGCAGGGAAAGTAGCACAGAGCTTGGCCAGAAGCTCGTTAGAGCAATTACCCCCACAGGGCTAACGAGTGTCCTGGACAGAGCTCAGGGAGAGGCCGTCCCAGAACCTTCCGAGCCGCTTCTCTCTTTAGAAACAATTCGGACTCATTGTGTCCCCCAAAGCCTTCTTGTTAGGAGCCTCCATTTCAGGCTTCTGTCTAAGGTTACTCATCAAACCCCATACAGTATTTCATGAGAGAAAAGGGCTTTCAGAGCTGCACAATGAGGGGTGAGGGCTGTGACACCTCTCCCAGCCCGACTGACCCATCTCTCAGACGCTGCTGCCGGTGAGGAGGGACAGGCTGAATCCTGAGCCTTGGCTTGCACACGCAGCAAAATGCAGCTCTGTTCCTGGATGTGTTTGTCATTCCTTTCACTGGGGTAATAAAACACCAGCAGCATTTTTTTTTCCCTGGCTGTTTATTGTGTCTCACTTTAAAAAAAAAAAAAAAAAATCCTCTCCCACGTATTAATTTGTCTCGCCCTTTTATCTTCCCACATGTTGCCAGCTGGTTCTTCCTGTTTGCCTTTTTTACAAATCCATTTGGAGGATCTTTGTTTAGTGTTTTCTCTGGGGATTGTTTGCCTCCACCAGAAGGGCGTGGACAGTCCAGCAGAGCCAGGCTTTCAAAATTCCTGCTTTTCAAAATTCCTGCTCCAATTATTTGGGAAAACTTGTTGTTCTTGATTTTATCCTGTTCGTGCACATCGGTAATATCTCTTAGGTGTAGTGTGCGACATTATATTATGTGATATTATATTTTATTATATTAGCACACACCTACTTTAATGAAGACTCCTTTTTCTCTCAGAGGTCTTTCAGTAGAAGA